AAAATATAAGAATGGTTGATAATCAAATGGAAGTATAGGAGTCCTGGTGTGGCGCTGGGAGCTAATGAGCTGGACTGCAAAGTTGTTTGAACCACAAAGTTGGTGGTTCAAGCTCACCTGCCGCTCCTTGGAAACCCTATGCAGGGTTGCTATGGGTCAGAACTGACTTGACGGCACTCATCAACAACAAAAACATAGGAGTCCTGGTGTAGCACTGTGGGTTAATGTGCCAGACTGCAAAGCCATTTGAACTGCAAGGTTGGCGGTTCAAGCTCACCAGCTGCTCCTCCAAAACCCTATATAGGGTTGCTATAAGTGGGAACCAACTCGAACAGCACTTAACAGCAATAACAACAATAGATTATTGAGATGAACTTTACTTCATAAATGATTTTTTTGTAAAATATAAACTTAATTTCAAGTATTGTTAAGTAATGCTAATATCAAATTGAGTTAATAAATATTTATTATAATTAAAGTTTATTAACTCTTACTTTTTATGCCACAATGAAAAATGTAATCTAGTATAAGTGTGTTCATTTTTATTACTTAGAATGCTGTACTATAAGAAATATGTAAGCAAATATGTTTAAAGAGTTAATTAAACAGGAATTTATTTAATATGGTTAAATTTTAATAGGTTAATTTAAAAGAAATTTTAATGATATTAATGTCAAATAACATGTTAAATAATTAAAATTTTCACTGTTAAACAACATTTTCTTTGATTACTAGGTTGCAGAGTTAATTTGTTTTTTGTTTATTCTGCCTTGAGGGCAAGGCCTCAACAAAATATAGTTCTGAATTTTAAAAAAGCTATGAAACATACTAAGATTCTAACAAAGTTTGCTCAAGTTTAACCATTTTGGTTTCTTAATTAACTGTTTATTATATGTAATTTGCCTAAGAAGTAGAAGTTTTATGTCTAAGTTTATGTTAGCGTTCATGTCTTTAACTAAGAAACCAAGCCAATTGGCTTTGGAAGAAATTAAGGTTTTATCTGAAAATTCTTTGGCTAAACAACTCAAGTATTTAACCAAATAATTCAATGGCCTATAACAAATTTTGAAACTTTGAAAGAAAGTCAAAATAATTGTTTCTATTTTATAAAAAGAAAACTACAAAATAGGTTTATTTAATAAATTTTAAATTACATGAATCATATTGTTGAATTAGAAGAAGCATCAAATTTTCTTTAAGTAAAAATGTATATATCAGTAATGTTTACCTAACGTGAACACATAGTATTATGTCAGTATTTATTATTTCAATTGCTAACTTAGTTGAAACTTTACTTTGAAACTAGCATCACCACAGCCAATGGTTTAAGAAATTTCATACAATTTACTCAGAGTATTTTCATTACTACTCAAATGTTAATCCTAATATATACTTGTTATATCTATTTAGTATTATGTCTCATGAAATGTTGTATATGAAGCTCTTTAAAAATAATGTTGAACATTATGCTTAAAGATTCTTTTGTCTAAATTTTTAAAATTTATTTTATTTGGTCACACTATCTTTGTAATTAGTTCCCATCATCAAGTTTTTTTTCCTTTTAGAAAATATTATTGTAAGTAACCATGCACATATTAAGTTACTATCTGCAAATAAGTTTTACTTTGCCAATGTACTGAAAATGCTTGACCAAAATATTCTAACAAAAGATGACTATCTTAAACTTATGAAAAAGACTATAATATTTGAATGTTGATACCTTTAGACTAACACAAAATTGCACAGAACCAGTTAATGAGTAAATTTAAATAATTACTATAAAATTTATTTGAGAATATTGCTGAGGTTCATTGTTCTATATTCTAGAATAATAGCTAGAAACTCCACAGTTTTCCCTTATGAAAATATGGTCTAAAGCTCATTGTTCATCAATTGAAGAAGGATTTAATGAACCTGAGCCAGAACTGCAATCTTTACCTGAACTCCTTACAAGTGACTTTATCTACTAAAACAAATCACCAAGTGAAATATTCCCTCGAACCTCGCTAAAAGGATCAGTGCGTTACCACCCCTATGCAACTACACTTAAAAATGTGAATCCCTAAATTCAGTAATTTCAATTAAAGAAAATCAAGGAATGAGCTTGGACTTGCTAGCATACTAAATATCTTAAGGTAACCCATGTGCAGGGACAAAAACTGATAAAGCTGAAATTCAATGGCTGATTCAAGAACACAGAACAAGACCCCATGCAGACTTCTGAAGTTATTGGATTTTGAAATGACATTATTTCAAAAACTTAGATTCATTAATTAGTAAGAATAACTCATGCAAACTACTTATATAAATGCCCTTGCTTTTATTAGTATAGCCATTCTTAGGTTGATAGCTGTATTACACTTTATATTTATTTAGTCCGATGCAACCCTTAAAATAATTGTCCTTTACTTAATATTACTTTGCTTTTGAACTGCTTTGCTTTGTCATCTAAGTTTTATTCTCCTCCATGCAAATAATTGAAAAAACCTTATTTCTATTTTATTATAGCAATTATTTTTATGTTCTTTATTTTATTTCTTGCCACTATGAAACCTTTTTTATTTCTTTTTACTACTTTCTCTAACTCACATTAATGCTTACAAAGAGAATGCCCTTATTAAGCTAGCACAATCAGTAGCTAATACTAGCAGTTTGATAAACTACTGGATATGTCACTCCTCTCTGTAGTCCAAATAAGATCATTTAGATCCCTTTACTACTCTAATTTTTATCTATAGATCTATACCCAGTGCTACTGTAAAATTTTAAAGACCTTTTAAAATACCACTATACATACAATTTTAATTAAGCCTCAGTATTTCAATTGTCCACTTTATTTATAACACATTATATTAATCCAGATTAAATGTTGATTGTATTGTAAATGATCAAATCCTGCCAATACAGACTTGTATGGAGTTAGTCTTTTCTTCATGTTTAGTCCCCACATTCATTATGTAACAAATAGAACAATTAATCCATACCTGTCAACTAACATGACCCAAATTACTGACAGTATAGCTGAAAAGATGCCTCAACAGAAGCCTTTAGAATCTTTAGGCAAAATAATCTTTGACAACTTTAGATTTTCTCCTAGCTCAATAAATAAGAATCTACACCATTGTTAATATCGTCTACTATATTTAGATATACACCTCTAGAAAAAATTGAACAAGACTTCACAAAGTTCCCTCAGAAACCTACCTTGTTAAATTCAATACCACCCACAACTGTTGCATATTTCTTTGATATCTTTAACTAGTTGCCAAATAGTGTTGGATCATGGATTGAATTTATACTAATCACTAGATTAGTGATTCTTCTTTTTCTTTTTATTATTTTAAGTATAATCAAGTATTGCATGATATATATCAAATACTTTCATTTCTACCACAAATATCTCTTGAAAGAATTATATATATTAACAAAATGGACAATACCTTTTCAAATAGAGTAGATTTCCCACCCTGTTGTTTTTGTTAAGTGCTGTCAAGTTGGTTCCAACACATAACAAGCCTATACAGGATTTCTGATGAGTGGATTTTAAGTTTGAGTCGCTGACCTTGTCGTTAGCAGTCCAGTGCTTCTCCTATAGTGCCACACCAGTACTCCAGCCCTAGAAGTACCTATTTTACTTAAGTTGTTCCCCTAAATTTAGCCAGCTCAAACCCCAATAAATAACAACAAAACGACACCTTGTCATTTTATCCTCACTGAAGAATGTCTGCTCTTTGTGTGTGTCTAAGGTCATGAAACTGTCTGAATGTATAAAGAGAAGATCTTAAGCCAAAGCAAACTAAAAAAAAAAAAAATCGGTACATACTCCAAATAAGAATCAGAAGGCAAAATGTTTAAGCTATACGAGAATGAAGATCCCTACTAAAATATATGTTGTTGTTTAGTGCTGTTGAGTCGGTTCCAACTCATAGCAACCCTTTTTAAGGTCTCTGAGGAGCGATTGGTGGATTTAACCACTGACTGTGTAGTTCAGACTGACCATGTAGTCCAGTGCTTATCCTACAGTACCACACCAGGACTCCATCTAAAAAATATAGTGTTTGGTGTCTGGAGTTTTAAAAATTTACAGATGACAGGCAGCCATCTAAAAGAAATTTCTACTTCTATACAGTAAAAAGTCAATGCAAAAGAAAACACTTTTATAATGGTAATCAGATAATTTCTATGGAAATTTCTGATCAAAAGGGGTAAATGATAACAAGCACCCTAAAATTAACTCTGGAGTACTTACTTGTCATGATTAAAGGATCATTGCTTCCATGTCTGAAATCAAGCTCCTTTTAAAAAATGCTATTTTACTGTAAGAAGTTAATGTTTAAACAGACTCACTCTAATATCTAAAGAAATGTTGTATTTGTAAGGAAGTTATGCAAACCATTTCTGCAAACCACATTGAACAAGAAAGCTATGTTAGCTGAAAAGAATGTCTTATGATTGCTTTGTGACCACTGTGAACCCTTATAGTCTCTAAGTAGTAACTAATCAACAAAATTCACATTCTTTGTAAGTAATCAGCAGAGAATATTTCAATCAATCACTATAAATCTCCCACCTTGGTTACCAATCTTTGACTTTTGAAAATTGCTAATAAGCAGATTAGAATATTATATTGTTAATTCCTAGTTTGATGATATAAATATTGTCTAGATGCCTGTAACTCTTTAGAGTGGACTCTTCTTTGTTGTTGTTGTTGTTAAGTACTGTGGAGTCAGTTCCGACTCATAGTGACCCTGCACAGGGTTTCCAAGGCTGCAAATCTTTATGGGAGCAGAAAGCCTCATCTTTCACTCGTGGAACAGCTGGTAGTTTCGAACTGCCGACCTTGAGGTTAGCAGCCCAATTCGTAACCACTATGCTCACAGTTTAAATTATGTCTTGCCTTCAATAAATCTATTTTACTCCTTAGACTTAGAATTTTAATTTACAACAAGTTATTAATGTTTTCAATTTCTAAAGAAAGTGGTCTTAGAAGGAAAGTTTACCTTATGTTCTCATAGCAGCTGACTTCTGGTTTCAACCCGGCAGTATGACGAAAAACTTTGTATATAATAACTCCAAAAGCCAAAAGATTAACCTGGGAAAATATTAATTTTGAAGAATAGGTAATTTTCATGTCAAATTAGATACATTTAGAAGATATAAAAGAATAAAAAGATTTCAAATAAACTAGGAACCATACAATTATGACATTAAATGTATACTATAAAGTATAAACTTTCTGATAGACTTAGGCAAGCAGATTTATGAAATATCATTGAAAATTATTGTTAGTACAGTATTTCTGATTATGTTAAACTTGTTCAAAAATCCTCTTTAGACATCATAATCATAATTACAGAATGATGCACATCATCTTCTGCCAGTAATAAAATTAATATGCACATTGTGATAAATTTCAAGTTGAAAAGCTTTGGAAACACTTGAGAAATAAATTTTGGTTCACTAAATTTTAGAGTTTCCTTGAGTGGAACTGATAATTCTATAAACTTTTTAAAACTTTGAACTTCAAAAGAAATGCTGAAAGGAAACTAGAAAAACTCAACAGTAAAATTCATAATTTCTGTTACTAAAAGATACTTTAATGTACTGTCCTTTGTGTGTTCTTTAGACATTGTTCCTAATATTGATAATGAAACTGTCTTTCCCTAGATTAATGTCAGAAATTTTCTAAATATAAATAAATATTGGTGGAAGGAATAGAAATGTTATGAATAACACATACTATGTGGAAACTAGAATACTCAGATTATTAACTCCTTTTAAGGTGATTGTGGTATGACAATTTTCTCATTACTTTCATTTTGTATTTTTTTAGAAACCATCCAATTCATATTTCTAATATCAGTTGACTGATTGAAGGGTACATTTTAAATATGTAATACTTCTAGTATGAGTATGCTAGTAATTGCAAATATTAAACATTATATAAATAATAGTAAGATTGATCTTTTATTGAATGGTTTAGTCATTTAAACAAGTTTTTCAAAATCTAACTTAGAATGGCAATAACAAAATATAATTTTCAGATAATCTTTATACAAAAATTTAAAAGGTAATATAGATAATATTTATCTTTTATGTTCTAAAGGATTTTATATAGTTTTCAACCATGAAATTTACTAATTACTATTATAAAAAGCATAATAAAATAATGAGTCAAGTAATTTCATGTTGTTAGTCTTCCTCTCTCCACAGAAAGGTCCTTAAGAGCAACTCTGAGAGACATAAGGGGTTTATCTCTTCTTCCTGCTTAAAATAAACATTCTTTATTTCTAATTATATGACTAATTAAGTCTAATTACAGTAATGCTTCCATAGGAAGAAAAGACTTCAACAGTTTCAGAAGACAAACAAAGTACATTAAATGGATTTAATTGGCATTTTATCACCAACTAACTAAAACAATAGACCCCTGGTGTGGTGATGTAGAATCAGCGCTAGACTTGGAACTACAAGGTCAGCAGTTTAAACCCACCAGCTGCTCCTTGGAAACCCTCTACAGAGTCACTATGAGTTAGAACTGACTTAATGACACTTAGTAACAACTAAAATGACAACTTAATAATATTTAATTTTATAAATATTCTTTAATACTTATGAGTCATACTTATTTTCTAGGTTTGAATGGCTTTAGCTTTTTTGTATAAATTTGGAAGGAACAATTGTGTTTAATTTTGGAAAGAACAACTGTATTTAATTTTATAAGCAAGTGCATATATGTTTTAAAGAAAAATATTAACATTTGATTAGTAGTAAACCATTCTTGCTTTGAAATTATCTGCAAAGAATTTGAATGAGATAATTACATTGAACGTGGCATTTCAATAAATGAAGAGCTATACAATAAAATAACTAAAAATGATACAAGATACAGCTGCCTATACTAATAATTTTCCTCTTAAATGACTAATTTAAAATAATAGTTCAGGAAAGTTTTTAGAGCTTTTGTTTTCAGTAAATCTGTGGTTTGCAACCCAGTTGCTCATGCTGTTGTAATTTCTCAGATGAGCATATACAATTTGGAAATGCTCTGCTACATCATATCCTAAAGCAGTGAAGAGGAGAAATGAAACATTCCTTAGTGGTAAACTAGATCTGCAAACTTTTTTTAAAACAAACAGAGAAAGAAATTGTTTAAATACTCATATATATATATTAAAAGGTGCTGTTGTGCAAGTGGGAGACAAATTCTTATTCCATAAACTTCCATTTTCTCAAATATAAAAAACGCAGAATAAATCATTTTTATCATACTATGTTATGTTTTTATATAAGCAAACAAAACACAAATGCACTGATTCTATTACCCTAGTCATTGATATTAATAGAAATATGAGGGTAAATAAAAATGTATTGCTACAAAATCATAGAAACCTTTATTAGACAAGTAAAAATGTGAAGCTTTTGTTCCTTAATCTCCCATCTGTATCTACACACTGCTTAAGGAGGTGTTATCATCTCTGTAAACCCTCCCTAGAAGAATTCTGAGTTCTATTTGTTGTTATTGTTAGGTGCCACAAGTCGGTACCGACTTATAGTGACCCTACGCACAACAGAAAGAACCACTGCCTGGTCCTGGGCCAAGCTCACAAATGTTGCCACAATTGAAACCACTGATGCTGCCACTTTGCCAATCCATCTCGCTAGTGTCTTCCTCTTTTTCTCTGACCCTCTACCTTTGCAAACATGATATCCTTTTCCAGTGACTGGTCCCTTCTGACAATATGTCCGAAGTTTGAGAGAAGGAGTTTGGCCATCTTGGTCTCCAAGGAGAACACTGGCTGCACTTCTTCCAAACAGATCTGTTTGTTCTTTTGGCAGCCCACGGCACTTTCAATATTCTCCTCCAACACCATAACTCAAAAGCATCAATTCTCTTTGTTGTTATGTGCCATGGAGTTGGTTCCGACTCTTGGCGACCCTGTACAGGGTTTCTGAGGCTGTAAATCTTTTAGGGAGCAGAAAGCCTCATCTTTCTCCCACAGAACAGCTGGTAGTTTCGAACTGCTGACCTTAAGGTTCACAGCCCAATTCATAACCACTACACTACATGAGCACCTTATCAGAACAGCAGTTTGGCCATCATTTGAATCAAATCATGGTCTTTTAAAATGCCTTTTAAGCTTGGGGAACAAAAAAAAGTCATGGATATAGGGTGGGTGGGATAAGATTGCCCAATAAATTTCTCACAGAGCAGTACTTGCTATAAAATTCTTGTAGGACAAGAGGTGCATTGTTAAGATAGAAATAATATCCTTGGTGCAAGTTTCCTTACCTTTTTCTCATGAATAAAATTCTCTTTCCTTAAAACTTCTTCTTAATAAGCTCTCATGATTGTCCTGTGTTCTTTGAGAAAATTTATGAAAATTATCTCTTTGGGATCACTGAAAACAGTTACCATAACCTTCTGAGCTGACCTCTCTGCCCGAATTTAAATGACCCTGCAGATTCCCTCAAAAGCCACTTCTTTTGATTATACCTTTTTTCCAAAGGCATCCTAAGAAGAAACTAAGACAAGTGTATTACTGAGACAACTTGTCTCCTTTCATCTACTAATTGCATAGATACGTTTAAACAGGTTTTTTGTTTGTTGGTTTGTTTTGTTTTTGAATAAACTGTGCATATATGAACTGTAACATAAGGACCATTATTTTATGACTTACCCGCATATATGAAACTTTTTATTGTAATTTTATTATAAACTTTAAAACATCTATTTAGAGTCTGGTACAGTAGTTAAGGCAAGGTATGTATTAAGGAGCAAAACAGGTATGTTCCATTGTTCTCTTAGCCTATTAGAGAAATAAATATTAAATGAATATTCTTACAGATACACATACACCCTGAAACTGTGATAAATGCCACAGTTGAAATGTTTAGACCATTAGAAGAGACAAGGAAGGAAAGTTGGAATCAATTTTAGGAAGTATCTTCTAGATTTGGCATCTACCAGGACCTAACAGATTGCAATGCTTTCACAGGTCAAATAATGAAAGGAAAAAAAAAAAACATTTCATAAAGGAAAACAAAACAGCAGAGAAAAACAATCTTACCCCTGAGGGAGTTGAGAACATCTCATATATGTTAAAGAATTTGATGAAAAGGTGGCTGGAGTGTAGTGAACAAAGGGAAGAATAACAAGAGATGAATTTGCTAGGACAGATAGAATCAAATATTACTTAGATTTCATCTTCTTAAATGATTTTTATGTATTCTTTCATTTCAAAATCATTAAAGACAGGTTTCAAGGACATACAGTATAAAATAGGTGACCAATTAACAAAGCAAATACAGCACAATTCAGTAAGTATCATGCAGATACTTTCATAGTGGAGAAAAGAACACAGTTAACCTACCCTAAATATTTCTGAACCAATATTGAGTGATCAGTAGGTGAAAAGGAGGACAACACACAGAAATAAAGTAGTTACTTAGGATATCAAATCTTGAACTTATCTACATACACTCACTTCCTAAGTGATCAGATTTATGGCTCAAAATATTAGCCTTAGTTCCCCTCAAGGCAAACCCCCTTCCAAGACTGAAACTCGAAGGGAATTCACTAGCAGGCATATGGTCCTGCTGCTGACCATGTTGGTCACCAATAAGGGGAAGAGGGGGAAAACCAGCAATGAAGTTATGAACTAAGTCTGACCACATTCAATAAACTTCTGTTAAACTGGATTGAGATCTGGTTAACCAGCAGTATGACGAGACCTGGGGACTCCTGGGCCCAGGGGCAGGGACATGGCTCCAGAGGACTAGAACAGAGTGCGAAGCATCCAGCTGATATAAAATGAGGGGAGATGCACAAGAACACCCACACTTGCAAATAGCAGCCATTTGATCTGGCATCAATGGCTGGATGATCAGAACACAACTAGAGGAAGAAAATAAAAAAGGAGTAACCCACTTTAAGTAGATGATCTTGACCTATGCCTATGGATGTAGTATGACAAAGGAGCGGGCAAATCTTTAAGTGAGGATCATTCCCATTCCCTTGGTACAGAGGGTTGACAGAGAGGGAGAGCTTAGACATTGGCTACCCAAAATGGGGGGACTACAAGGCAAGAA